AATAAGCAGGCACATCTTCTACTAGATCAGGTTGCTCAGAGCCCCGTCCAGCCTGACCTTGAAGGGTTACAAGGATGGGGCATCTACCACCTTCCCTGGGCAACCTGTGCCAGTGTTTCACCACCCTCACTGTGAAAAATTTCCTCCTTATACCTAGCCTGAATCTTCCCTCTTTTATTAAATCCATCACCCTTTCTCCTATCGCAATAGGCCCTGCTAAAAACTCTGTCCCCATATTTCTTATAAGCCCCCTTTAAGTACTGGAAGTCTGCAATAAGGTCTCCTTTGTCTTCTCCAGGTTGAACAACCCCAGCCCATTTGTGTCTTACAGCTTCCCTGGGAGGCTCTTATTGAATTACCGGTTGTTCAGGGCAGCAGCCCTAAACAGCTGTGTATGTCCATAGATCTGGCTTCAGTAATTATTTTGTCCCTTGCTTCCAAACTCACGTACTTCACCTCCTAGCAAGGAGGGAGCTGACATACTTGGTCAGTATACCTGCATGCAGACAGACCTCAAGGTGTATGGCAGATCCAGTGGGGATCTGACATGACCTTAACTAGACTCCTCAGTGTTGGACGAATCAGCAGAGCGGTCAGGGTCTAACTGAAAAGGAGCATGCAGCTGATCTCCACAGATTGCTGACTGAGGCAAAACTCGTTGGAAAAGATCTAATCAGTCTCCCCAAGACACATAAAGAAAAAGAGACAGCTGAGGACCGGATATTGTTATTATGAAATCAACTTATTAGTCAGAAATGCAAAGTTTTACTCCAGGAAACCCCATGAGAAGGTAACTATAAAGCTGTAACAGCAGCCACAGCAAGAGAAAAAATGAGGAGCATCACTTGCTGCTCATTCTCATTCTTCTGTAATACTGCAATAAAAATAGAACTATCTACAGTTACTTTTGGAGAATGGCATGATACAGAACATGGGTAAAAGGGTGTCTTATGAATTAAATCACCATTCTGAATTCAGAACTTACTGGCTCTTTAGTTTTTTTCCAGTTTTACTGATACACGTAGTTCACTGCATCCAAGTTAACAGGACATGATTAATTCAAAGTTTTCATGCAATACACAATACTGTTACCTTATCAGTTACAGTGACAAAGCCATAAGATACATATGTTTATAAACTACCTACTACAATTTTTTATGTTAAAGATTCCCTTGAAAGTATTGTACAAGATTATTACCTTTTTTTTTTACAATCTTCCAGAGATGTCATTACAGAAAAAGACAAACCCTTAAATTCTCAAAGAAGACATAAAAGTGATGGTTGGTGGGAGGCCAGTGGGTGTGACAAAGAGCAGTGTTTACACACACACACGGAAAATAAGATTAGGAAAAACTCAGAAAACTTGACTTAGATTTCAGTATCTATCCAATGGAGAGGAGTTTTTATTTTGAACTTGCATAAGCAGTGTTACACTATAAATAAAATTCCTCTCAATAAATAGTCTAAAAAGTATTAGTAGTTCCTACACTTGGCATTTGTTTCAACACATTCTCAAGTCCACCTGAAAGCTTAAGTTAAAATATGTACACAACAGAGTCACAGTAGTGACTGCAATGCTCTGTGAAGCAACTGGACTTAGCTTTAACTTAGCTAATTTAAGAACATGCTTAACAACTCAGTAGGGAGGAGGAGAGAGACTAATTTTTCTCAACAGAATAACAAGCCATGTTCAAAAAGGGGTAGCATATGTACCATCTTGACTAGCAAGGTTTCTGACCTGGCCTCACACAACAGTCTCAGAAGCAAACGATGAAAACAATTACTATCAAGTAAATAGAGAACTGGTAAGAAATTGTTTTCAGAATACTCCTTAATTGCTCTTTATGAAATGGTCGACTGCTTTTCAGTGTTTGTGGTATCTTTAGAAAGACAGAATAGAAAGTATGCCTACTACATCTCCAAAGAACACCAGGCTGACCAGAGGTTCACCTAAGGACAGGCTTAAAATTCAGAATAATTTTGGTGAAGAAAACTTGGATATCATTCAACAAGGGCATATGCTAAATCCTCTTTACTAGGAAGTAAAGATCAACTATACAAAACATGATTCTGAAAAACTGGCCAGAAAGTAGATCCACAGGAAAGGATTAAGGGCTTATATTGGATCAAAATTTTAACACAGGTCAATGCCTTTACTGTTAAGAAAATCATAGAAACATAGAATCTTTGCTTTGGAAGGGACCTTTAAAGATCATCTACTCCAGCCCTGCCCTGCAATAAGCAGGGATTTCTTCAACTACAGCAGGTTGCTCAGAGCCCCATCCAACCTGACCTTGAAGGTTTCCAGGGATGGTGCATCTACCACCTCTCTGGGCAACCTGTGCCAGTTTTCACCACCCTCACTGTAAAAAATTTCTTCCTTATATCTTGTCTAAATCTATGCTCTTTTAGTTTAAAATGATTACCTATCACTACAGGCCTTGCTAAAAAGTCTGTCCCCATCCTTCTTAAAAGCTCCTTTTAAGTACTGAAAGGTTGCAATAAGGTCTCCGCAGAGCCTTCTCTTCTCCAGGCTGAACAATCCCAACTCTCTCAGCCTGTCCTCACAGGAGAGGTGTTCCACCCCTCTGGTCATTTCTGTGACACTCCAACAGGTCCATGTCTACCCTGTGCTGAGGGCTCCAGAGCTGGACACAGTACTGCAGGTGGGGTCTCACCAGAGTGGAGTAGAGGGGCAGAATCACCTCCCTCGACCTGCTGGCCAAGCTGCCTTTGATGCAGCACAGGATATGGTTGGCCTTCTGGGCTGTGAGCACATATTGCCTGCTCATGTCCAGCTTTTCATCCACCAGTAACCCCAAGCCCTTCTCATCAGGGCTGCTCTTGATCCCTTCATCCCCAGCCTGTAGTGGTACCGAAGGTTGCCCCAACCGAGGTTCAGGACCCAGCACTTGGCCTTGTTGAACCTCATGAGGTTCACAGGGGCCCATTCCTCGAGCTTGTCCAGATCCCTCTGCACAGCATCCCATCCATCAGGTGTGTCAACAGCACGACTCAGCTTGGTGTCATCTGCAAACTGGCTGAACTGTCTATGTTATTGCTGGAGATATTAAAGAGTACTGGTCCCAGTATGGACCCCTGAGGGTCACCACTCGTCACCGAGTAACAAGTGAAATGAAATACTGGATCGTAAGGTCTAAGTATCCTAGATGTTATGCAAAAGAACTCCTCCTCCTTATTCAAATAAGGCCGCACCTGGAATCCTGCTGTCTAGCTTTTGAACAAACTTTCAGAAAGAAGTCAGTCACACATAGAACAGCTAGAGGAAATCAGTGAAAACAATCACAAGATATAGAAAACAGGAACTATGGGAAAAGACTGAATGAGTAGTGGTTGTTAACCTTAAAAACTGACTTTACAGGGAAGCAACTCTTCCACGACATAAAGAAATCTTAAAAAAAGAAAGGTAGCAGCCTGTATGTGCAGAGTGATTAGAACAAAAAGTAATCGGCTTAAAATCCATCAAGGAAATTCAGGTAAGATACAAGGGAAAGCCAAACAGTGAAACACATTCCCCTGTGAACTTCTAAATTCACTGCTAGGGAAGGCCTTGAAGAACAGATCAGATGAACATCTATTATAAATGACACAGGACTGGCTGATTCCACCTCAAGTAGGAAGGTGGATTAGGTGATTTTTTGAGGGCTGCTGTTTTTGACAGTAAAGCACATAACACAAATATCAGAGATAACTCAAGACACAAAACATGCAAGCCAAAGCTAACTTCTGTGTTGCCATAACCAGAGTATTCCACCATTAAAAATAATTAGCTGAAAATGATCTTGAGTAGATGTACACTATACCACAAGCACTTCCACTGTAGGAAAGGGTAAATGTTTGAGAAGCCAGACAGGAGTTTATGTTTCTACGTCTTTCTTCTCCACTAACTACTTGAAAACGTCAAGTATCAAATACCTGTAGTTTCATAAACTGGCTTAGATTTACAGCCAATGTGTAATTCAAACCTTTGCTCTCCTAAGCTTTAAACCCAGCAGCAGAATCTGGATTAGCTCTTAGCATAGTATTGCACAATGCACTCTCACAGCCATCACGTTTGTAACTGCAGTAGGTAAGATTTCTACATATCTTTAGCAAATTATACACAAAAACTACACTGTATATTCATGTTGGCAATAAGTCTGTAATTATTGTATGATAAAACTTACTCTGTCAAATCATGTAGACTAGTTTTGCACACACAGTACTCATCTATATGTTTTGGAAATCGTAACATTATCAAATTTCCTGGTTTTGAAAAGACTTTCCAACAACCAATCCTCATCTCCTTACCACCAGTGTTAGCACCATTCTGAAAAGGCACATGCATTAGAATTCATTAGATGTGTGTTTTGCACAAGAACAGCAAGAATCCTCAAGTACAATAAAATCACAGATTTGGTGGCAGTTAAGTTTAGAATCTTTACTTTCAGGTCTTAAATTCTTGTATCATTTATCAAGGGTTTTGATCTCAGTGAAGCCAAGACATGCTCAGGACTTGGAAATGGAACAACATGAGAGAAAGAAGACTTATGTGGAAGTTGCCAAATTCTTAAAAGGGTTAAATTCAGGCATTTAAAAAAATAATAAAATTAAGCTTCTGCAGCACAAAAAGCTGTAATGTACACCTATCACTGGTCTTTTCCACTGTAAAAGAATTCTTCATATATCTTAAAGATGACACTTATGAAAGTGTCTAAAGATATAAGAAATACATCAAGATCCACGGCAATGGAATAGTTGCAATATAAAGCTATCATAGTCTTTATTCAGCATTTAGTAACACTGATTTAAGTTTCAGCAATGCAGTTTAAAACTTACTTATGCCTTCAACACAGCAGCAAAAGCTGAATAATAAGGATATTTAGGCCTCAACCACCTCATTGTGCTTTCTCTGGCACAACTGTGCAGTCTCAAAAAACAACCCACCACAAATGAATAAATTTCAGCTGTAAAAAAAACATTAGAACGGGACAACCTACCCGCAGCCATTGTTTCTCTGTGAGAGCATCACTGTAGTCCACATCCCTGCGTTGACGGGATCCTCTTCCAAATATTTTCTCTTCTTCTTCTTCACACGTAAGCCTTTCAACTTCAGCATCATCCTTAATAATCCAGGATGGTAATTCATCCTCCTCCATCAAGCGGGGCTTACGCTTGGGATTTCTGGCATCCTCCCTGCGACGGTCCATGTCCATGCGCTGAAATGGCAGTTGAGAAAGGATAGAACAGTTTTAAGGACAAATATTAAGTAAACCATGGAAATTCCTGGCTATATAAAGATACTTGAAACTTTAAGCCAAGTCCTTCACAGGTATTTCCCTTCCACGATACCTCTAAATACTTCTAAAATGCAGCTATAAAAAGAAGCTACACTTGATGGTTAATTTTCTGTCAAGTTCACTACTCCATGTTGTGGTTCAACCTGGCAGGCAGCTAAACACCACACAGCTGTTCACTTCTCCTCCCCATTGGGATGGGTGAGAGAATCAGGGGGGAAAAAAAAAGTAAAATCTGTGGCTAGAGATAACGGCAGTTTGTTAGGACAGAAAATGAAGGGAAGAAAAAGAATAATATAATGATAAAAAGATATACAAAACAAGTGATGCACAATGCAACTGCTCACCACCCACTGACCGATGCCCGGTCTGTTCCTGAGCAGCAGCCCTCCTCAGCCAACTCCTCCAGTTTACATACCGAGCATGACGTCGTATGGTATGGAATACCCCTTTGGCCAGCCTGGGTCAGCTGTCCTGGCTGTCTCCCCGCTTCACGTGCACCCCCAGCCTTCTCGCTGACAGGCCAGCATGAGAAGCTGTATGGTCCCTGACTGCTTAGCAACAATTAAAAACATCACTATGTTATCAACATTATTTTCGTCCCAAATCCAAAACACTGCACTACACCAGCTACTAGGAAGACAATTAACTCTATCGCAGCTGAAACCAGGACACTCCTTAACCAGCTTTTACTAAAGTGATTGAAACAAAACAGCAGCTAAGTGATACAAAGCAGAACACAAGAACACTGTTGCAACTCTCTTCCTTTTTTGCATGGATTTTATGGTTTCTTTATATTGATAAATGTGATCTGCAAACACTAATCATCCCTTGACAACACCCCTGTAAGGTGGTGTTGCTGCTATGTAACTACAAAAAGTAACTGAAAACACACTAGTTTTGTGAGCCTGAATATCAGAAGAACAACATTTAAGAAATTTAGAATTAGAAAATTGGTATTAGAAAAAGGAAAAAGTATTAGAAAAAAGGAATTAAGACAGAGAATTAATTCACAGTGCCAGAAAACCAGCATGCTTAAACCACTGAATTTTTCCTGATCTTCTTCTGTACTTAGGCAAAAATCAAAACACATACAAAAAGTATCAGGTAAGATTAGGTAAAGTGTCAAGAATATTAGAAGCTAATGTTCAGACTTCAAGCTAAAATTGAAATAAGCACATAAATTAATTTCAAGTGTGGTGAGCAATTACCTCAGAAAACAGATATGGATGCTCAGGATACATTCCCATCACCTACTGTAGACTCATCAGTGAGGTGCTTTATAATCCTCTTGGCAAAGCATCCATCTCTCTCTATGTGCTGACCTAGGCGCCTATGATCCTGTGAATCTCATTTGCACTTTTTTAAGTATCCCAAATCAGAAAATAGCCTTTTTAAATAGACCTTTTGAAGAGTCATACCATACTTAAACACTCAGTATCAGTTCCTAAGCAGAGGAAACAATCACGTGGCCACTAAGCATTTAATTTTCATGTTTGAAAAACCAGCATAAATAGACTGGCACCAGAATTGGCTGTAGCATCAGAACAGGCTACTGCTTTCTCCAGTAAACATTTGTAAAAAGCATTCTCAATTATGTGCAAACTCCTCCCTTGGTGCATGATGCTGCACTTATACAGGATGCCAGCTAGACTTAACATCCTTTTACACCCCTACCCAAGACACAGACATGCATAAATTCAGAGGTATTATCTATCTACGGGGGCAGCTCGTAGATTTACTAACTGAGGCTTAATGATGGCACTGTGGAATATGCCGCATCTCCTCTCATCTTGGCACTTCTCAAATACAAGCATTCCCAAAATACTACCTTGGGCACAGCATCTTACAAATGGTTTTCATCATCTTGTCCAGTGCCCAATCTGATTTCTAAACTCAGTGAAAAGCAGAATGTAACGTGTGTCTTCAGTCTGCAGGTTCAACTACATTCAAGAGGCAACTATAAATACATGTGGGTTTTCCTCAGCCTTCATTACCTCAGACAATGATGAATGGGCTGAATAGCCTTTAGATTTTTACAGCAGACTTCCATATTTCACCTTTTAAAGAACCTCTCAGTTAATCTGAATTAATCTCAAAAAAGGGCTTATTCAAGCCAGACATGTGGCTTGGTTTATTGCTAACTCGGCAACTACCAAGCTGCACTGACAGAAGGCCAAAAACAGATTTCTCTATTATTTAGGAGAGAACTTCAGTGAAGCCAGGGGTATCATATTATAATGACAGTAATTATATGAAGTGAATGCTGGAACATAACTTTTTTTCCCCCATGACCATGTTTCTATCTCTAAGACAAAGACTGAACACTAAGGTAGTATATTTTTATAGCTGTTTTCTGAAACAAAATCGCTTGGAAAGGAAAATTAAAGACACTCTCAGTTAATCTGAGATACAAGCGATACAAACAGCCATTTGTTTTTTCTTAGGATAGTATTGAAACTACTTTTATCTCTGGGAAACCTCCAGCCCTAACTTCCCATGTCTTCCCATGAAAACATGTATTTTCAAACCAGATCTACCTTGTTTTATTGAAACTAAGAGTAGTTATATTTACACTGTCCTCAATGAGGCCTAAATGCTGGAAATAAAAAAGTGCTATGCTACTAATGTTTACACTGAAGTGAAGAACTTCACACTCAACGCCTAAAACTTCCAGTTTAGAAAAAACACAAAGCACTGCCTTCTTGTGAACTATGAATGGTTGCCTTAAACTTTCCAAATTATAGCAAAAATAATTTTATTAAAAAAAACAACTCAGTGTAAAACTAGTAATTTATACACTCAGTTGCTGCTATATTGCCATGCTGGATTCAAGGAGATAAGCTGTATTAGCAGAACTAGAGTATCGGCACCCATTTCGGCGAGTGGCCTTCCTTGAAAGGCCACTCTTCCACTTGAAAGGCAGTTTTTACATCAGGAATCTTTATTTAAGTAAATATAACATTGAAAATAACTTAAAAATTTTTCCAGGAAGAGTAATACTTTTTGAAGCACACTATTATGAAATGACAAGAGTTGTACAGACCACATTGAAACATGTGACTTTTCTTTGAATATTTTCTAAACTTACTTACTATGTAACAAAGTGCTGTCATTTGCAATGAATGCAAACGTAGGACAATGTGAGGTTTGAAGCTATCTAGAGCTTTTACCTACTGTTATACCCTCCTCTAAAAGCCAAGGAACAAAGTCTGTTTGAACACGTCCTCTTTCTGAACACTGTATTTAGCTCTACAGCTATCTATCAGGACCAATGCCAAAGAATACTTCTAACCTGAAAAAGAGACCACAGAAGAGCTTCTCAAGGAATTGATCTGCTCTCTTGCCTGTTATTTTAAAGTGAGCACTTCCAAACCAAGCAAAATGCATGCTTTTACACCTCTAAGCCTAGTTAAATGAACAAACCAAAACACATTTTTTCCTAGATATTGCAGTTTGCTGAATTATGATTGCATCTGCACAACCTTAATAGACTGAATAAGGCAGCACAGATATCACTGAGGTAAGGAGAATACAAACCTATCTGTGTGCTCCTTATCTGACTATGCAAGACCTAAAATATTGATAAAAAGAAGACATACAACCCTGAATAGTTTACTAAAATGAAAAACAAATTTTTTATTAGCAATTAAAATTATTTCTTAGCCATTAATATTTATCTTCACTGTTTCTATACTATAGTGATGTTTTGCTTTTCTTTCAAACCCCAGGCTTTCAAAGCATGTTAGCTTTGCATCTTCAAATTTTATTGCCTAATACCAACTCTTTACTCTCCCTTAAAAACTTTCATCTACATTAATATGAAAAACATTAATTCAGCCCACACAGTGCTAAAACTGTCTTCACTCTAGGCCCCTCAACTATTTTACTGAATGGCTGTTAATAGCCTTCAAACTTAATCCAAAAAGATGAAGTTGTAGAAATTTCCTGCAAACAGACATAAATTCATCAGCTAGTTTCAATCCATGGATTAGTTTTTTCCTTCTGGGTCTGAAGAAGTACTGAGAAGCCTTCTCCAGCAGCAAATCTGCTCAGGGTACTTTCAGCCAATAATTTGAATTTTGGATCAAATGGCCACCTTTTGGTTTCTGTCATGTAAATCTCCTTACACCTAAATCACTAAAGGGAAGTTGAAAAAGACAGGTGTCTGTAAGCACTCATTTTCTGTGCAGCCTAGCTTTTGGGATTTCAGTTCTTCTGAGATTAACATTAAGCAAAATTTAGCACAAAAGGACTAAACTGGCAAGTCGGCAGTAACAAAAAGGCACGGCCATGTGGGGGAATATGGCCTTTGCCAACTGTGCACTTGAACAACTGTCACATGTAAAAAGGGCCTCTGCACACTTGCCTAAGTGAAGTTTTAGAGATGAATCCTTGAGCAGAAGGTGGTGAGGGATGAAAAACCTGTGGCCCTATCAGTGGTTGTTTCTGTGGATACCACCTGACATCCTTTTATTCATGCACATACAAGCGTTCGTCTTGTTCCACCTTGCAGGAAAAAGCAGCTTATGTAGAATTAGAGGGGATGGTGCTTTACTTTCAGTACTTAAGTATTCTCCTGTTGCTCTGTCAGTGACTGTCAAAGGTCCTCCAGCAAACCCTGCATTATACACACACTAAAAGGCAAGAGCCATGCCTACACTGACATTTTAGTAATTATTCCATCAGTTGTTTTAAACAAAAAGGGAAGTACTAATAAAAATGAGTTGTGTGCATTTGAACCACAGTCACTAGTTCTACTTCAATAACTGTTCAACAGCTGTAGCAGCAAAGATGCAGCTGACTGGGCTCTTGATAAAACCATCAGCAAACCCCAGTTAACCCACAAAGAAAACAGCACTGTCAGTCTACTAATTTACTATCTTGTTAAGTTCCTGTAGTTGTCCTTGCCAATATCATAGCCCAGAAGTCAGAAGAAATGTTGGAAAATAAAAGTATGTTGGAGAATTAGCAAGCCAAACCGTGACTATCAGTTTTGCACTGTAAGTTTCTCGGCTTGTGCCAGACTCTTCCTCCAGACTGGCACTGTTCCACTATACTGCCCGCAAGCATCTCTGGAATCTTCCTGTCATGTGAGGAACTCTGTATTTAAGCAGACTACTCTTCTTTCCTCAGGTAAACAATGCAAGCAAATAAAGTCTATTTCTCCAACAAAGTTTTCCAAAATTTGACAGACAAAAGGTTAAGGCCTTTGTCAAAAACACTAAAGAAGATACTCTACTTATGATTGTATCATCCTTACCATAAAGAGATCAAATTCCTCCTCACGTCGAGCAATCATCTGATTCAGAGTCTCATCATCAGGAACTTCATCTTCCTCCTGGTTAAACAAATGGATAAAGGTATTACAAAGAAGCTACATGCAACCTGAAGTAACAACCTCCATCAGCTCAGTGTTGCACTGACCCTCCTTCTGTCACAACACACGTGAAACACTCGAAACAAAAACTTTCAAAGTGTTCAGCAATTCAGAAGTAACGCAAAATAGACATAATCAGAGAGATGACTGGGACTTATTGCCACCTTCATAAATTGAGAATGAGGAAATGAGCAAATATGCAACCAGGAAATTTTGGGTTGTGGTTTTCCTGGGTCAGAAGCACAGTTAGTGCTTCAGTTAAAATATATGCATTTCCGTTCTGGTGTTCTACAGTGCTCCCTCAGAAATACTGTCCTGCGTTATGAGATCTTTGCTGTGAAAACAAGTATAATTAAAAAGTCCTGGTTAAATGAAAAGAATGAAATATGTCATTATACTGGAAAAAAAACCCTGCTGAATCCCTCTTTCTCTTGACTGTTATCCACTTACAAATTGAGATGTGAACTTCTGACTTCAGACAAAATTAATTATTTCATAAAAACAGAAAGTCATTGGAAAAGCAATTTAGAACTGTAGAATTCAACTAAAAATGTTAAAGCTGAAGAGCAATGATACCTATTTTAACACACAGTCCACAATGTTCAGTATCCCTCCTTGAATTATTTTGCAAGCACATGGCAATTCAAATCTGACAACAGGTCAATCAAAACAAAACTACGGACCGGTTCCTACATAGGGCTTACTGAAGTTACTGTGTTACAGTATGCTGCAGATCCAGCATTTTTCATGAAAACTTATGTTTTGTACTCAGTGAAATGGGAGTATAGAACACTGCATACAGCACCCAAACATTTACATAACCCGTAACATTCTGTAGCTTTTTTCCCTGAAATAAACAGAAAAGGCCTTCACTTATATCCACACATCTTATTTTCCCTCCACAAGCAAGACTTCTACACCTCAGAAAAAAAAATACAGTTCTAATTAATGCAATTCCCAACGAACACATCTGTACCTTAATGTACATACAATTCAAACACAAAAAAAACAACTGCGAAAATGATAGAGCTAGCTCTTCTCACTTCTAGTGAGTGCTCCTTCAACGTTCAAGAAAAGGAAGTTACGTAGTTACACACACAGAGAAAAAAAAGAGTACAGAACCCTTCTTTTATCATCAGTGAAGAATCTGACCCTCACAGAAGTTTCACATGCTTCCTATTATCTCAGAGCAACTTGTGACCTGAAAAAAATAAGGGATGCCACAGCAGAACCTGGAACAACAGTGTCCGCATCATCTGTGGTTAGTCTGAATAGTCCGGTTGCCAACCAGGTAGTCTTGGCAGAATTAAAATTTATAAACACCAGTGCCAACAGAAAACACCTCTATGAACAAGGTTCTTCTGATCATCTGTCATACATTCCTATTATTCTATCTTTCTAAACACACAGAAATTACCTCTTTGCTTTATCTAGTACCGCTAAAACAAAAAAAAACAGAGCAAAAAGGAGATGAAAGAAGAAAGAAAAATAAGGGGAGATTTGATGCTGAATTTACAAAAACTACTAAGAAAATACAAATAGAATGTGGTGTTCTACATACGAGCGTGAAAAGCTTTGACATGCAAGTTTAAAGCATACTTAGCATGGGTATATTTAACTAGGTGGTCACTAAACAATCTCTTTATTAGATGGGCTAGCCTGTATTTGCAAGTCAAAGTTGTTTTGATATTAGTAACTTTTAACTGAGAGATTTACTTTTTCTTGTTGATCTCTCATTTGATACTCAAATTTTGTTTCCAGGGCTGTTGCAATGGAAGCAATGGCCGACCAGTGCAGGATGGTGCAAATTCAACCCCTTTTGCTCCCTCAGCAGTTTCAGTGTTTGGGCCAAATTTTGCCTAGCCTCTGTTCACAAAGAAAATTTACCTGAAAGCTTCAGCTTCAGTCTGACTGTTAGGGCACAGACTGCAGTACCAATGCTTGCTTTGAAGAGCTGGGTTATGGCAGACAAACCTTGGTTAAATCAGTGCTTGCTTCAGGATAGCAAACCAAATGTATTTGAATAACACACAAGCAGCAGATTATTCTGAAGTAATCTATGAAATAAGGCATGTCAAGTAGGCCTGAACTACAGTCCTGACTTTGGAAACATTTTCAGATAAGTATTTTCGAGGGCTTTGAATTCATAACAATATTATGTCAATTGTAAAAATAAACCCACAGACTTACTGAAAATTTCTATTGGTTTCAAGCTCATCTATCTACTCATGGATGGTGTTGGCTACTTGAGAACTACAGTTTTACTTAATCAAAAATGGCACATATACATCATCCCATTTCTGCATTCACACCCTGAATAAAAGATAATTACTGATAAAACTGTCATTTTTCTTTCATTTCTTATGACAAATGCTAAAGCAACAATACAAAAGTCCATCTTAATGATGTACTAGCTTTTTGTAAATGCACAGTAACACAAAGAGTTAACACAAAAGGTTTAATTACTAGAGAAGTAAACTCCTTGGTTTTTGAAACTTTACAACACATAATGAAGGATGCCTGGGAAACACAGACTATAGAATGTTCTTTTCTTTCAGTGGGCACCATATTCAGACATACTAGGCATACTGAGGCAAAGTTAGGCTTGAAATCTCTGTGTCTTTGACCGGTACCGGATATTTTACAGGTGGGAAAAAGTCATTGCAGAATGGGGTTTTTTTGTGTGTCCTCAGTATAATTGATACATTCATACACTCTCTCCCAAATGTGGCTTTATTCCAAAAGCTGAATTTTGTTCACATTAAGAGTCTGCAGTGACAGGCAAAAGAAGGGGCTCACCATTCCACAATCACAATTCCAGAGAAGAACACAATAAAAAGACAGGGACATACAATCATTGATTCTATAACCTCACTTCCCACTATTATAAGGAAAGATTTGACAGCTGTTTTTAAACACCTAATTGTTTCTTAAAGAGGAAGTGGTAACCAGAAGTCCAGATTGGACACAGTACCAGAAAGAAACAGTTATTTTGCTGGCTTGTCCTAAGCCCAAAGCACGTGAAAGCAGATCTTAACTCTTACCCAGGATCCAAAAGCAGCACAGTAAGCAGGGTCTTTCACGATTGAACCTAGGTAGTGCTAGTTGCTCATCATGTCTGAAAATCAGATTACCTAGTTTAACATATAAACCGGACTTAGGAACTGTTTTATAATCTGTTTTGGGGGAGGAAAAAAAAAAATCTCTGTTTGAATACAATTTTCTGCCAAAATTACGAAAGGGCAGAATGGGTTTAAGTTACAGTGCCTAATTCTACACTAAAATTCTGCCACAACCATTACATCATAACCAGTGCATTATAATCTGTTACCATGACCAAAAAATAGACAGAAAAATGAAGCTGTTTCTTTGACCGGATGGTAAGAATATGATGACATTTCTAATTTTAAAGGAGGTTACAATCTTTGCAACTGATGACAAAAATGACTCAGTACTTCCTGAAACATTCTCTTACTAATTCTTTCTAACTACATTACCTCATTTTCTTCTTCATGCTCCAATATAGCCTGTAGGAAGGCTCTCCTTTCATGGCTTGAAGATTTCTGATCAAACATTCCAGCCTGAATAACTTTTTGATCTACGTTCAGCTTATACTTTGCAGCAGCAAGTATCTTCTCTTCCACGCTGTTCACAGTGCACAGTCGCAGGACTCTAACTTCATTCTGCTGACCAATTCGGTGAGCTCTATCTTGGGCCTGCAAGTCCTATAGGCAAAGAACATACAGAGTGATTTATAAGTGCGCTACAGAAATCATTCTCTGCTTAAAGGACATTATAATGCTGAATTCTTTCTGGTATAAAAAGTTGCCCACCATAATTCACATGGTTCATTCCTCATTGTTTTCTTTCCCAAAACTTTATCAGACCCAGACAGGTGGAAAAAACATGGACTCTGTACATGTGTAAATGTACACTTCTTGAAAGCACGTGCAGTGACTGAGAAGGGCTAATCTATTTATTTTTTACCTTCTATTCAAAGCTCATGGCCTTTCAAGCCAGAATGACCCTAAAATATCTCTTGACTGCACAAAAAGAAAGCAACAAAATTACTAGGAAAAAACCCATATATAAACTTACCTACTAAAGGCTGTTGCGAATTCTTAAATATGTTAACTAAAAATTATTTGATCCATTGAATCAGCTTTTAACTTGGAATATTTGTGTTAAAACACTGAAATATGATCTCCCCGACTGAAAGTTCACATATACAAGACTGTGACTCAATATAACCATTTTTTTTGTCAGGTGACTGCACTTAGAAATGGTGGAAGTAAGAAGTGCACTGCAGTCATAGGTAAAGAATTTCTTTTAGTAATTCAAAATCTTACCTATTTCCTTTGGGGAAAAGTGAAATCCATTACCTCCTATAAATGGCATGTTTCTACTTCAGCACAGTCAGATAATGAGAAGTACCTAACCTCAAAATGCTATCAAAATTTTGTGCTAACTCACAACACAGAAGTTTCTTAACTTAGAGAAAAAAAAGAAAACAGGCAATGAGTTTGCCTATTTCAGTCCCAGCACCTTGGTTTTGCTCTGTTCTTAGTTCTTTCCTCCCACAAACTCCCCACCCAAGCACTATATATGATACAGCTGCTGCAACCTAACGGTGTTTTTGAAGTTTGCATTAACAGCGAAGATGAAGATACAATATGATTTGCTTGTGTAATCATTCTCAGAAGCACAGGAAAATAGTAAAGTGAGGAAGCAGAAGATTTTATTTCTGGAAATACACCGTTTAAGTCCCACCCCTGCTGCCAGCTATCCCCTTTTAGCACACTGCTCATTGAAATGAACAAATCACTCCTGTGCAGGAGAAGAGGAACTGCATGCATTGAAAAGGAGGCTGAGGGGAGACCTTATCACTCTCTACAACCACCTGAAAGGGAGTTGTAGTGAGGTGGGTGTCAGCCTCTTCTCCAAGGTAACAAGCAACACGACAACAGGAAATGGCCTCAAGTTGCACCAGGGGAGGATTAGATTGGATATTAGGAAAAATTTCTTCACCAAAAGGGTTGTCAAGCACTGGAACAGGCCGCCCAGGGAAGTGGTTGAATGACCATCCCCAGAGGCATTTAAAAGACATGTAGATGTGGCACTTAGGGACATGGTTTAGTGGTGGACTTGGCAGAGCTAGGTTTGTGGTTGGACTTGATGATCTTAAAGGTCTTTTCCAACCTAAATAATTCGATGATTTTGTAATTTAGCAATCTGCCCATTGAATACTCCAGAAAATATTCTGTAATTTTTACTATACAAGGATTTATTGCTATCCAACTACTGAAATAAACACATATATTGCTATACAACTCTCTGCTATACATCCTCTATATATTGCTATACAACTGTTGAAATAAACTTGTCTCTAAAAATGACCTGAAGACAACCAAAAATACGAAGAATGAAGTGCTTTCTGAGCTGCTTTTAAAACCTCTAAATATAATTGCTCCAAATTTCTTAAGCCTTGCTTCAAATTGGTCACGATGGCATCTATGGGAGTGCTGCCTTGAAAGTTCTATATAAAACTCTTTTTAGTCTCACTTTCCTTACTTTTACATGTGGCCATTGACTACAAACTACAAAGTGTGTTGCATGTATTTGCACAATAGCTGAAAACACACACAAAGTTATATACTTCCAGAACCTAACTTACATTCTTTAAAAAAACCCAAAAAGGCACTAAGTGGCAAAGACAAACTTGAGTTACCTCTTCTGGCTTTTTAAAATAAGCTAAAGTGCTCTGATACCCTGTTTTCCTGGTGATCTGTACTCACTACTACCCACTCACACCAACAGTATAAGTTCACTGCCTCAGGACAAGACTGCTGCACTCATGCAGCCACTAATCTCCTGAGACAGGCAGCACTCTGCACAGTCTTTACTAAAATACTGCAACTTACCTACTGAAGACTCAAAATGGGGAGTTACTCATTAATGTCCCAAGGGTTAAAGAATGAGTACAGCTATACAAATGGAGCAGGTCTATAGGGCCCCTAGCTCTCAGAATTCCCCAAGACTCAGATAAAATACATACACAGAGAATTACTTCACTGAGTTAAACAATAACATTTCCTGATTGTACAGTTTGCCTCACTAATTCCTCTCAAAGCAGCATTTTATGACTTACCTTAATCTACTCATTTCACATCAGGCTATATCCCCAATTTAAAGAAGCAAGCCCCAAATCCATCATGAATTCTTTGCGCATTTCATAAAGATAAATACATAAAAATAACCTGGTGAGGATTCCAGTCACTATCAAAGATTATAACAGTGTCAGCAGCCTGGAGATTTAAGCCTAGCCCTCCAGCCCTTGTACTCAGCAAGAAGATAAAGTATTGTGACCCAGGTTCATTAAACTTCTTCAACAGAGCAGCTCGATCCTCTGATTTTGTTGTGCCTGAAAAGAAATTAAAAAAAACCAACGCTATAACAAAGATGTGAATTGAAATAATATAAATACAATGTCAGTTGCTGAAGGTACATGTGGAAGGGAAATTTTAGCTCACTTGCTCTTTGCCATCTCTAACACATTTTCCATAATACAGAATAAACACTGGCAACAAATGTTTTGGTCAACTGCCATCACATCTAAGAGACAGACTGCTCAATACCTCTTTTAAGTATTTCTTTTGACATTTCAAAAAGGGACTTTAAAATGTTGGCTAACATTGTTATATCTTTTTATGACTCTCATGGTTTAACCCTAGCCAGCAACTAAGCACCACACAGCCACATGCTCACTTCTCCCCCAACCACACAGTGGGATGGAGAGCATTTAAAAAAAAAAACCAAAAAACCAAAACCAAAAACCTGTAGGTTGAGATAAAAACAGTTTAACAGGACAGCAAAGGAAGATAAAATAATAATAATAATAATAATGATGATGATGATAAAAATAACAACAACAGCAGTAAGATGATGCAAAGTAAGTGATGCACAATACCATTGCTCACCACTCACTGACTGATGCTCAGACAGTTCCAGAGCCATGGTGCCCCTGGCCAACTCCCCCAGTTTATATATTAAGCAAGATGTCACGCGTTATGGAATAGCCCTTTGGCCAGTTTGGGTCAGTTGTCCCAGCTGTGTTCCCTCCCAGCTTCTCACTGGCAGGCCATAAGAAGCCAAACAGTCCTTGACTCATGTAAGCACTACTTAGCAACAACTACAACATCAGTGTTATCGACATTATTCTCATACTAAATCTGAAGAACGGCACTATACCAAATACTAGGAAGAAAAATTAAGTCTATCCCAGTTGAACCCAGGACAATGACTCACATAAATTTCAACTGAAGTTACTCTACACAAACAGAAGAGAGCTCCAGTTTTGATTAATGCCTTCTGGCCATGACAGCATCTAAATGTTTTTTTTAATTACTTATATAGAGACCTATCAAAATGTCAGTGTTGACCTTCAGAGTCTTCATTAGTAAGAAAGGATTGAAAATTCTTAAAATGTCCAATTTTGAGGCTGATGGTATACAACAGTTGAGGGAGAGCAAGGAATGAAATCATGGTGAAAATGTAGGCAAAATTCTAAAGTAAAAACCAAGCCCTTCGCACTCTGGTGACTGGATGAATTTCACGTACTTTGACAACAGTCTATAGAGTTGACCTGAGCCTGGTCCACTGTTTGCCTTACCTTTTTTTCACCTCTGTCTGTAATTGAAAGGCAAATAAAGTCTGCTGGTTTTATTCAGGTATTGATATATGTACAGAAGACGAAGTTCTTCTATTACTGTGGTGGGTTGACCCCAGCTGGCTGCCAGAAGTCTTACCCCCACCTCCCCCACCTCAACAGTACATGGGGAGAAAGTAAGATGGTAAAGCTCCTGGGCTGAGATAAAGGCAGTTTAATAAAAGCAAAAGCTGTGCATGAAAGCAAAGCAAAAAAAAGGAATTTATTTACTACTTCCCATCACAAGGCAATGTCCAGACACTTCCTGTAAAGCAGGGCCTCAGCACCCATAATGAGTGCTTGGGAAGACAAATGCCATAACAAGGAATGTCCCTGCATCCTCTTCCTTTGCCTCAGTTTTCACTGCTGAGCAGGTCCCTTTAGTCAGTTTGGGACAGCTGTCCCAGCTGGGTCCTGGCTCAACCTCAGCCTACTGGCCTTGGGGGTGGAGGTGGAGCGGTTTGGAGACACTCGGCAAGTGCTGCTCAACAATAGCCAAAACACTGGTGTTATTACTGGTGTGTTATCAGCCCTACTTGGCCACAAATGCAAAGCACAGCACTTACATGGGCTGCTAGGAGGAAAGTTAACTTTATCGCAGCCAGACTCAGTACAATCACACAGCCAAACTGCTGGCTCATAGAAACCCATTCCCTTAAGAAGCACATGACTTGAGTAGAAAACGCTCTATGTGAGAAGACAGCTGGAGAGAATCTACATATATATTATATTCCAGCATGGAAGGTAATCTGTCATCACAAAACAGGAAAAGACGAAAAAAAGGTTCATCTCACTAATTTAATGAACTACGCGCAAAACCTTAAAGAAAACGAGGAGCTGTTTTTACCACACTGCATATTGCCATAGACACTGTAGCATGAAAAAGAATTAATTTTAAATATGTGGTATACGGTAATTTAAAACATTTTAAATATAATATAGTTCATCTTTCTTGAATGGACGCATTGAAACACCTGGAGGCCAGAGGTACAAGGGGGGCTTTGTTAGCATGGTACTATGTTCTTCAGCCAGTTTTGACAAAGACATCCTGTGGCACAGACAGCCCATTTGTGTCTCAGTTTCATTACCCCATAGTAGCGTTTCAAGTCCATGTTCATTAATATTTGTAAAGGATGAGAATACTTCTCAGCATTAATTTTTCTTCCAAATAAAGCATGAAGAGTCAACTTAAAATGCTTTAAGAGAATATTCAAAAGGACCTTAAACTCTCACTTTATTCATGCTGTTCTATTTTTCTTAAATCATGGCTTTTCTATTAAAAAGGTATTCTGATAAATGCTGCTGGTCCTATGTAATACTATAATGTGTAAGATAAATACATTAAAAAAAAAAAATCAATATTTAAAAAGGTGCATGATGCAGAGATCATCAACATGGAAGAAGACCAAAATAGAAACTTCTTTCAAACAGGTTTAACCTCAGATGGGATGTGCTATTTGTAGTTCTTTTCCCTTCAATATTAATCCACTATGTTTCTAAACCATCTTTTAATTCAAAGGTAGTAAAACATAACTACACATGAAGTAATTGAGACTCCTGACCTTCCTGTGAAATTCAGGAAGAAAACTACAGGCACTACTTTACCTGTAATTGAAATTCAGGTATCCTGTGGAGAACAGCAGTCGAACTTTAAACAGGCACAAATTAATTAATTCCACTGGAATCTAAGCAAAACACTGGCATTATCATCTCTCATCACGAGAATACTTTCAGGTTAACTTAGATAGTAACAACTGACTGGAACCTTGGATTTTAAACCTTATTTGAAAAAGTGATCAGCCCCTAAACATCAAATCTCTACATAATCTGCATTCCAGGAATAGACCTGAGTGTTCATCAAAACAATCCCTCGACTAAATGGTTTGCAGGTTAAGCAGATGAAAGAAAACAGTCAAAGAGCCAGGGAGACAGAGAATTACTTAAGATCAACTCTAATGAGAGAGGCAGAAGTACATCTTAATCAGTATCTTGTCTATAAGAACAGGGAAAACTCTAGTAAGCTGCAGCTTAAGGGTTTACTGCCCTAACTTTATGATAAACACCCTTGCAGACTCTTCCTTCATGGATTTGTCAAATCAGTTTTTGATCCTGTTTATACTTTTGTAGAGCCAACATCACAGCACTGGTTTGCTACAAAGACACTAGAAAGAGAATCCAAGTGTCCCATGCCCATACTAATGAAGCTTGATAACTCCTAATTTCTTATTTACCCCCCCCCTTTTTTTTTTTATTTAGCTTACCATCAAGACGCAGGTAAAGGAAATTTCGAAAGGCAAAGTAGTCTTCCATAATGGTCATAAGTGATGTCATTTGACAGAAAAGAAGGACACGATGGTTAGTAGCTCGTAACTTTGGTAGAATACGATCGAGTAGCTCAAACTTCCCTGAGGCCCGATAAAGTTCGGCTCTGTTGAAGAGAAAAAGCACAGTGAATGCCAGAATGAGCCCACATTTGGGAAAGTTTTTAGTCATTATTGTGTCAGAGTATAACAGGAAGATTAATTTGCTTAAGACTAACAAGACTAAGAGCACTTTTCCCTCTTTAAAATTGTTTACGTTGATTAAAGTAAAAAAATAAATGTGAATTCCTGTTTGGGAAGGATTCTTCTTTGATTACAAAAACTGCGTGGACTTTCAACCACACAGAATACCTTCCTTTATGAAATTAAATTCTGTTTCATTATTTATCAAAAAACCCCCCTATTTCTCAGCTAGATAAGCAATTATCAGTTAAGACATTCACCTGCTAGTTTTGCTTTCAATTGGCATTTACTGCAGCTCTAAGCTGCATTCATCAGGCATATGTCAAAGACAATTCCCTTTCCACTCAACTACTATGCACATGAAAGTATATAAATATTCCAAAGTGAACTAATATACAGAGATAATGCGAGGAATTTGATAGAGGATATACTCTTTAGCCATATATCCTTAGTAATCCTGAATAATGTTTAGTTGCTTTAATTAGCTCTTTTCTGTCTTCTATGCTATGGATTGCAAAACAGACTCTTAGCACTGAAATTCCAGTCATGACTGAGAAAATGAATAAAAGTAAACAGGATGTCTAAACCAGCATCACAGTGATATGCTTTACAAAAATTAATTTCACATAACTTTTCTAACCTTGAGTCTGTACTCTCAAAATACAATTTATCATTAACAACGGCATACTTAAGCCCACAGGATACATGGCCTTCTGATAGGCATACATATGTAATCAGCAAAAGACTAAACTGTTTAGCAGAGAAGTAGTCTGGTATACTAGTTAAGGAGACAAATAGTCTGGTATACTAATTAAGGGGAAAAAAAAGAAAGGTCATTAACAGACAAACAGGAAAGAGGTCAGGTGGAAGATACACATTCCTTTAGAAAGCATCCATTCCTATACAGTTGCACAAAGAAGTGCCAAGAACAAAATTTACATCTATTTCATTTCAAATAAGGAAGAAATGCTACTCTTAATTGGGAATTAAAATGGTAAAGAGGGAAAAGCAGAAGGCAGAAGTAACAAGAACGAGATGAAAATCCCAACTGATATCTCTGAAGAGTCATTCCAATAAATTTCATGTGTTATCTAAGCTATTTCAACATAATGGAAAAAGAAGACAACAGTTTACAAACTTCTCTGCCTGTCCTCCTGAAAGAGATGAAGTGTCATAAAAAGCTGATAGAACACTTCTAGTTGTTAACTTTTGCTTAAACTATATGCCCTGTGCCTCCTCTGCCTTTCTATAAACTGATCAAGTTTGTTAGCATGTACCTTCTAGAAAAAGAATGTGATACATTAGTTCCAATACAACATTATCAACAGGAGGAAAAACTGAAAGAGTTACCCGTTGATGACACCATTTGAGTAACCTAGATGTTCAGCGAAGGACTCCTGCAGAGTTATAAGCAATAAAAAGATAATTACAAAGTACACAGTAACCCAAAATTATGCATTCTTGTATCTAATAAATTAAATATATGAGAGTTGGGGTTTGAGTTCCATTACGCACATACTCTTGGAATCCACCTTGTAGCAACAATGCTCTGCTTAATATTTTCCTGTGCTACTACATTTGAAGTTCAGGGCTTGCAGAAGTAACTTCTGTCAGCATACATTTTACCAGGTTACAAATACAGTAGAAGCTAATAAATTTATACTAATTACTGGAAAATACATTTGCAAATTACTCAATTATTTATAAGAGAGCAAAGAGTGAACACTACAGTGATAATACATCACAGTAAATACTTAACTATTCATTCATAAATGTAGCTACATTCCAGATATTTATGACATTTTCTATCTTTTTTTATGTATTTTATTTATTTATGTATTTTGGGTCCTAATGAGAGATGCTATATAGATAGTACATTTTTGCTGAGAAAACAGGGTGCATAGAATAAGATAGTTTTGGTTGATACTGTAAAGGATTAGCAGCCTGCTAGTTATAAAGATCCTACACATGATATTTTGAACTAGTGTCTCTACATCATAAATTCGGTCTAAGCAGAGATTAAGTTGCTCTGGAACGTCTTAAATTAAAAAAAACCTTCATTTTTTAAAGACAGTGTCTCTACAAGATTAAATGCTTTAAAACTAGACTCATATTACCAATGAAGAGTTGGTGGCTGGTCCATTTGTTTCTAAAGAAAAAGGGACTGTAATGATTGTTTTTTTCAAATATGTCCTTTTCAGCACAAATGATGTGGACAGAGATGTCCTCTCTGACAAACATGAGCTTCAACAGCAGTTTTCTATTACAATTAGCCATATGAATAAAAACAGCTCTCAAAATCAAAACTGTCAGTCTTACCTCAATATGTTGAAACATGTATGGGTGATTGCATATCTTTCTCAATTGCATGATAGTGTTCATTAGAGTTTTTGCCCCGCCTTTTCCCTATGGGTACAAACAATGCAAATGAAATGATGGTCTGATTTCTTAACTTATTAACAAAGCTTTTGAAAGATATTTTTAAATGCAGGCATAAAAATACTTCTACCACAAACCTGAACACTACATCACTACTTAACCACCCCCCCACCCCACCCCCCCCAAAAAAACCCAAAAAACCCCAACCCAAACAACAAAAACCCAGAAGCTACTGTGCAGTTGTCTTGCTGTATAAAATTCATCTATCATACTGCTCCATAACAAAAAAGGAAGACCTGGAAGTAATCCACAAAGTGCATTATGTATCTACCTGTGTATTCACAGTGGGAATGCTCACAGCTCTACTGTCCTGCATACTGCTTATTTATACTGTTTATTATGCAACCATGCAAATTCCATCGCGTCTGAACCATCTAACAGGAAACGACTCTAGCTGGATGCTTTTCAATTCTACAGTATCTCCTCTTGTCTGTTAACTGCATGTATGGGTTTCTCCTCCAGGCCAAGTAAAACACAGGCCTACAAGCAGCTAAACAGCTAGAGATAACCCAGTCTCACAAGTCAGTTTACTATTTAACAAAGTATATTCTCAAAACTTACTCTAAAATGAATCTTTTTTAGAATCAGGACCGAGTTCAGACAACAGTCAGTTGTGCTAGACTAAACTGTATGGTCAAATACCAATTTGAACTGGATACAAGTTTGAGAACATCATATCATATTAACATTTCCAAACACTTGTCACTTTCAGATGCTACTTTGCTTTGCTGTAATTTTATGAAACTGTAATCAGAGTGGCCACAATAGTCCAAGCTTACTGTATGACTAACTCAGATTTTTTTTTAAATCTCAGCCAAAAGAATTTAGCAATTTCCAAGAGCAAAACTAGGGAAAAGTATTTGATCATGTTATATACTAGTAATATTCTACTCTTTCCTGGAAAGCACAGTGAAATCATAACTTCCATCTAGAGCCGAGATTTTACTTTTGAAGAGGTTACTCCACACCTAAATTTTTTGTTCTTTTCAAAATCCTCTCACATTTACTCTAAAATGCAGTTCGTATTTGTTCTAAGAGTATTTCCTAGAGCTATCCAGCTTATTGAATTCTCTCTAGTCTGAGCTGATTCCAGGCCAAAGACGCAGAAGGACAGGATTTTTTCCTAACACAGTAGTTGTCTGATCACTAAAGCCGAGCGTTCTCAACAACCACCTCACTCTGCTGGCAACAGGTAGCATGGATAAGAGACCCTGATGAAGCAGTTAAAAGAAAAAAAAAAAAAAGAATTAAGAGACTGTGGCAAGAAAGGAAAAATTTTAGACCCTTGGAGAGAGGGGAAGGAGAGGGACATGCTCATAAGACAGCCAAGGCAATCTGAACTGGTTAAGCAAAAAGCAGGGTGGAGAAGCAAGTAGGGAAAATTGACAGAAGATTCTGAGCTGGTGAAAAAGGAGAGACCAGAAAGGGAAGGAAGTAGAACAATGTGATACAGAATGACTTTTGTAGGACAAAAGTATAGACATCAAACTACAAAATTCCATTATTAATACAGCAGGAGAACATAAATTTATGTTTAGAAAGTGCTCAAACTATGAAGATGCATATCAATACCCAACAATAAGAACCAGCTTTATCTGGAGTTTGAGTAAGCACCAGCAAAGAAACTAATTCAACTGCAGAAAAGAAGTATAAAATAAGATTCTGATTAAAAAAAAGTCACCCTTTGTACTAACACAACCTGCAAAACGATGGCAGAAATACAGTATGTGATTGCACTGCATCAGTAATACACACATAACAGGGTGCAAACACAAACTGTTATACACCACCTGTTCTGCAGTGCCTATCAAAGGTATTTCACATTTATTATAAAGTGAAAAGTGTATACATAAATAAGGTGATTAATGGCAACTTGTTTACTCTGTATTAACTGGATAAAGTCCCATGGCATAATCAACATTTACTAATATGTAGTCTAAATCTGACTATAGGACTTTGAATCCCCCTGTTCTCTTAAAAAAACCCCTGTCATTAACAGATGTTCTAATATGAACGCAAGCATACAGCCCTGACTGGCCAAAACAAGACTTATACTTCACTAATAGCTTGGAAAGACAAGATGAATAACCTTCTGTAGCCAGTGCTGTCACAATCACAATTATTCAGGTACCTCATTGGATTAACCTAGGTCAAGGAAATACTGTTTTTTTTTCAAACATTTCATGTTTGCAGAAAGGCACTGTAACTACAGTGAATACAAGTAGCATATTTTCCTTGTGAACAGACAGCATGAACTGCAGTCTTATGAAAACAAAAGTATGTCTGATAGAGATTTCTTTTCCCATGACAGAAAGAGCCTACATACTAATTTTATGAAACAGAAATCATATTGTTAACATGTTTAATCATAATATATTGTTTCCTACGTGTTTTAGTCTTTCTTTTGTACCTTCTTGTCTTTTTCAGAACCATCTGTAAGAAGGATTCCCTTGGCTTGCATGTGACGGTACAAGATCTTCTGAAGAGCTGACATATCACATTTGATCACATATTCCACCTAGTGTAAAAAAAAAAACAAACCCACAACCAATCATAAGCACACTGACATAATAATATTAGTAGGGTCTAACTGCAGGTTCTTGTGATCCAAACAAACAAACCGAAAAACCAGTAATCTTTTATTTGTACCCTAACACCACATATGATTTCAGTGAGCAGCAATCCAAGTGCAAGCACAGGTATGAGTATCTCAGAAGATTATCTGTGAGAGTCACAACTACTATGATACAGCCGGATTCTACAAATATAAGTGCAGAATTGCCAAACATATTTTTTCTCATTCTGCAATTTTAACAATTTAAAAAAATTTAAAAAAATTAAAAATCTATTTTATTTTGTTTAAGATGTAATAATAAAAAACATTTTAAGTTTAACAACCTGTGGACTTATGTATGTAAAGTATTATAAAAATATCAAGCAAAGTATTATAAAAATATCATCATTGTATACCTAGCAAATAAGCATCACTCAAAGTGTCTAATTAGCATTAGGCTTACCTAGGTTGGCATAGAAATATGCTATTTCATCAACATCAACTAAAACCACAGGGAATTAATCAAGTACTGTAAGATCCCCACATTCAGGTTGACTTCTTGTTCCTCTTTATAAAACTGTATTTATTAAAGCAGTTTTTGACTGCATGCTATCTTTAAATCCAATAATACAAAGACTTCATACCCTAATCTGACCCATTTTTTTCTTATTACCCAATTTCCAGATTACAGTAACTATGTTTTTATTGGATATGTAAAATAAAACGAGTCACATAATAAAGCCACACTAGTGGCTAGAAATCTTTCAAGTGTTGACAAAAAGAAAAAGGTTAGGCTTCCTAATGTTTAATAAATAGACGGAATAAAAATTATCAGGTTATTTTCTTCTCAGAAAGACAGGAGGATGAACTCCTTAAACAGAAGCAACTATTTCTTCAAAGGCTTCTTTACCGAAATCTTTGAAGTCAAATGAAACTGATTAACAGGTGTCGGTCAAGAAGTTAGGTCCTCATGGTTGGACTAACTTCTTTTTTCATAAACAAGATAATGGCAACAAAAAGAAACACGGTCCTCTGAGCATCAGTGTGTATCCAACTTCCAAATCCTCTTCCTCAAATGCCTGTTAATGGATTTATCAAATACAGTGACTGTAAGTGGCAGAAATTTCAATGAAGACTTCAGTAGTATTTTTAAATGTTAAGTATGTTTCATTCTCAAATAAATGCTTCTGAAGATACTGAGAATCTGACATTTGCAGGAATAGAAAGTCACAACAGTAACAGTGTTCGCAACATAATAAAGATGAGAAAGAAATATTCAAAAAGCCTTTCCTTTGAATACTGTCACTAAGCATCTGTACAGAGCTCTTCATTCAGCCAGTGTGAGTCAGCTCACAACACAATTTACAGAAATTTCATTTTGGTATTCTTTTAACCCAGTTGACCTTAGCACTAAATTTTCCCTAGAACACCTTCAAATTAACTTTTTTTATTTAGTTGCTGCTGTTATTCTGGGAAAGGTGAATGTGAAAAGTGATGCAGAGGCAGATAGCGTGGGGGCAAGATTAGTTGCCCAGAGATAAAAACAGTGATCTTTCACATCAGAAGAGAATTTTATGTTCTGAATTAAAAAATCACTAATTAAAAAAAATCTTGTGCGATTTCAACTAACACTTCACGACTCCTGGAATATTAACACAGGACCAAAATCTGCCTGCTTTATAAAGTCCCGTAGTCATTTAGGAATTTCAGTGAACTAGCTACAGCAGCAAAGGTTCTACTTGGTGCAGGGAGGATGGGACAGGACAGAATCTAATCTTCAGTGTATGGCTGACTCAATTTAAACTAACCAGATATAGTGGAAATAAGTTGCATGTCTTACAAGGATGACTACAAACAGAATTAAAGCTGTAAGACTGGTTAGGAATCCTGAGAATGCAGAAACTTCAGGTATTCAGGTTTCCTCAGTGATCATCTTTCTTTGCAGTTATAAACAAACAAATCACAGCAATAACAGACACTAAAGAAGTCCTCTTCTGTAAAATAAATCTGAAAAATAAACATTATATAATGGTTAAAAAAATATTAACCCCTTTCCACAACTCCTGTCATTGCCAACCTTTTCTGGCAGTTGAGACTCAACCTCCTTCTTCAATCTTCTCAGCAAGAAGGGTCGGAGCACTTTATGGAGACGACGGATGATCAGAATAGTTTCTTCCTCATTTAAGTCCACCTAGAGAAGTTTAAAATAGTCATGACAAGGCAACTCAGTATATTAAGCTATGTCTTCTCTCACATGAATGGTTAAGGATGTGCAATAATTACTTGCATGTTACAACCAAACTGATTCAGAGTCAAAAAAGACACTGATACTAAAATTTTCTGGCATTATTAAAAAGGTGGCTTTTAGTTACATTAATTCCCTAAGTATCAGGAACAGTTCAAACACTAATCCTTCTGTATAAGCTCCTTTCATCGAAGTGATTTGTTTCTGATGTTTTAAAAAAAACTGCCACAGTACCCTTTCTCCAGTCATGGCAAATGGAGCGTTGAACCACTGTTCAAAGGTGCTACAGCTCTTGAAAATGGTTGGGAGGAGGAAATTGAGAAGAGCCCAAAGTTCAGGCAATTTGTTCTGCAATGGAGTCCCAGTCAGCAGTATTCGCCGAGGGGCCACATAGTGAGTATTCAAGACCTGAGTCAGCTTGCAGTGATGGTTCTTCATTCGATGGCCTTCATCTACTATCATGTACTTCCATCGAATCTGCAAGAAAAAGAAGAAAGCTGGCAAAGTTAGAGCAGGTCAGACTCAGTCAATTCCTCCCAACAGGTGTAGAACAAAAATATTTCAAGTCTGAGACATCAGTCATTTTCATTTATGAGAAAAGCTAAATCAAGCATTATCCAAGTACCGGTGCCTTTGCAAGCAGCAAAATAGAAACAAACACTAGATATGCTGAATCTGATGTTTCAGCAAGATGTCAAGAAACTGTCTTGAATTGCAACAGCAAATAGCAGATTCCTCCCATTTCTGGGAAAGATATTAGGGTGACTGGCTCTTCAAGGCCAGAATATGGTTCAACGAAAGAGATGACATAAACTCTAAATAAACCTGTCTGCAGCAAGAACCTTGAGATGAGATGAAAGCATTTTCAGACAAAACTATGCTCACAGACAGTAGCAGCCCTACGCTTTGTTTTGTTTCAGCTAATCCTATGTTTTGACTCAAGAACAAGCAGCATAATTACAATCATCTCATCTCAGATACTGCAACTTCAACTACAGTTTTTATTTCTTAATATGAAAGCTTAAATGCAGTCACAGCACATGTTGAAAGTAAGTTACTCAAGCTCTTGTCATGAGTGCCACACTGACCGTATGACTAGGAAGGCCTCGGTTTGTACTTTCATAGGTGCTAACTAATTCCATTCCCAGGATAGACTGAACGGCATAGTGCTATCCTTCCTATCTTTTGGCTAGAGTGGGCAAAAACTACAGGGGAAGGAAAACTCTGCAGTCTCAAATTGTTCTCCAGTGTTCAGAATTATGCTAAGAAAATGCACTGCCTTTGTATCAGAGAGGAAAAATGAGTAATCTAAATATGCAGTATGTAACAGAATGAATGTAAAGCGATAATGTACAACAAAGGGCCAGCAGGACCATATGGTTTCTCCATATGGCAAAATACCTCCTTAGTCTGCTTTGTGTGTACATGAAATAGTCTTACAGTGCAGTAGCTTTCAAATTAATTAACTACATTGGAGGCACACCTATTGACAGCGAGCCTTTAAGAACTGGGCCATGTGTAGTAAAGTCTGGATACCAAATTCATGACACAAGAAACTATTTGATCATTTGGGGAAAAGTGATCACATAGCTGTAAAGGCTATAAGGGTGAGCTGCAGGTGAGAAACAATGGAAAAATATTGAAGTCAGGAATGCAGATTGGGTTAAATGCCATTAAGCAGAGGGAAGAAAAGTCATGTTTTGACAAGGACAGGCAGGTATACAGATAAATTTGCAGAAAGGAATTAGTCTCCTGGCCACAATCAGGAGAATCCTGGTGTTTACAGGGAGAAGAGTTGTGACCAAGAAGTCCAATCATAAACAGAGGTATAAAAAAGCAAATGAAAGGTTTAACTTTTATTGAAGGACAGAAAAACAACTCAGGACTTCTCTATAAAACAAAAACGTGTTTTGTGCTATGAACCATTTTAACAAATCTTGAAGGTCTTGCTCTTAAGAGATGACAGTCATTATTACCTTAGCAAGGATATGTTTGTCCTTTATTATGTACTCATAAGTAGTTAAAAGAACATTAAATTTTCCACTTCGAAGCTGAGGAACAAGTGAGCGGCGCATTGCAGGTGTACCCTGAAAGACAAAGAGAAGTGAGTAGTTACTCTGTCTTCTGATGAAGAAGAATATATCAGTTTTATAAATTAGCAGACACAGAGCAACCACATGAATTTGTAATCCTACTGTACTGCAAAGAATATATCGATGCATTACAAACTTCTTCAGAAGTTGCTTCTTCTAGCAGTTGCTAGACTGTAAAGCTCTGTTTATGGGGTGCTGGAAACATGTAGCTAGTGGTCTAGTCTCCCTACAAATTGCTTGGCCATACCACTACTACAATAGCCAAACAGCAAAGTATTCAGCTACCTATAAAATATGAAGTAGTTACCATTTGTATTACTCTCATCAGAAGCCATGCAATGTGATAATTAACAATTCTATTCTGCATTTCACTATGTGAAAGTAATTACAGTTTATTACAGTCTTCTTAGTACGACTAACTCTCACTGCCTGGTACCTGATATACATGACAAAACTTCATGAGCAAACAGAAATACACACAGAGGCAGAGGAAAAACTGCCTCTATTCTCATTCCTTCAACCCTGTAATCATACAAAAAGCAAATCAAACCTTGTAAGATATCTTCACCACAGAAGGAGCCCATTTGTCAAATTCATATGTCCAATTGGATAAAGTCCTATCACAGAGATTATGAAGAAAAAGTAATACATTTCATCATTTGCAAGTCAAACTTTATAAATTATTCCAAGTAGTTGCCAACTTTTCAACACATTTGATGTAGTAAGCCCCCGTAATTAACAGTATATTTTAAAAAATGCACTTTATATATTGTAGTAAAATACAAGCAGGGAGAGGGGAGTAAACAGAAAAAGGTGTGAAACCCTCTTTCAGCTCATATTCAGGGGCCTCTGAAACCAACTCAGAGTAGTATTTTACATGCATCTTTGTATTTTGGAGCTATTAAGGATATGAAAGATAACCCTGAACAAAAAAATAGATTTCTAAGTTCTGTTATACTACTTATCATCCAAAAACTGACATTACAGCTTTTGACATAGAGCCTCATGAAGCTGATAACAGAACTCATCTGTGTTCTAGCCGAGTAGTACTCATAGTGCCACCTAGTGCCAATATGCAGGTCTGTTTTTGCACTGTGTTTCTGCCATTTGTTCACAACGAATAGGTTTTTATGGCTAAGCTAGTTGCTATCATGATACAGCAGCAAAAAATAACCTTGAGGTTTTTTGGTTGCTTGCCTTTTTTTTTTTTTGTCTTACTGGATGTGTGATGGTAGCAGTACTAGCTATTACGAAAAAGGCAGGGAAAGGCAGCTTTTAAAATGTTTATCATAAAGTTATGTATTTCAGCTCCCCTCTTTTAGAAACATAAAAAAAATTACAGAATACTTAAAAGAAATCTTTTTTTTTTTATTGTGCCCATATGGAATCTGACGTTAATAACACTCTCCCTTTATTTTTAGCTTTGTTTTACTTTATAGATCTCCCAGCCATTTTCACAATAGAGCTCATCATTTGTATGCATACAATTAGGCACAGCCGTGGTATTTATGTTATCAATAAATTACTACTGCAGCACAGCCAGAAGACAGGATACCTCAAAAGAAATAGCCACAAATAAAATTTATCCCAATCAACACATTTGCATGCTCAACACAATCTGTGATCAAATTATCTAACAAAAGGGCCAGGGAACTTCTGCATATCAATTAAGTCACTTACACACAAAAATAAGCAAACAATCCCTCAATATGCTGTATCTGTTTTACAATGCCTGACAGTTTTTATTTAAAACACAGCGCTTCAAATCTCTAAAACTCATAGCTCACCTTTGGAGAAAGGAAAATGCATTCAAAGAAATGTTTAAAACAAGCAGCATCTTGCAAAGCTAAGGAAAAGCAAATGGGGCAGCACAATAAACAATCATAATCTGCACACCTCACTGAAGTGTTAGTATCATTCATCAAGGCTACTTCCAGGGCTAGTTATACAGTACTTAAAAGATCATCCAACCTCGTTAAAGCATGGTTACTTGGTATCAGATGGGGCACCAGTTGTTTAAAGAATTAAGCAACAGATTTTTAGTATCAGAGTTAAAAGTTGAATGAGGAACGGCAAGCATGTAATATGAAAGAACACCATCCCCCTCTTGTGGCTTAAGAGTGAATTACAGTCAATTCACTAAGTGCCAAAAGAGCGGACCGTGAAACTAATGGAATCAAGTGCTTTATCAGGCTTCTGGTCACCCTTCCAATGCCAGACAATTATCTGGGAAGAAATTATCAAAGAGAACACTGAATACACGCTCAGTGTAATCCCACTGTGCACTTCATCTTGTCATTACATGAAAAACAAGTGTGTGTTCTGAATAAACCAATCTGCAATGCTTAGAATGATAACAGCAGCAGGAGTTCCTTTACTTACGAAAGGGGGACAATGATGAGATAGGGGCCATTGAGTCTTTTGTGCTCCATCAAGTAAGTGATGAGTGCAATAGTCTGTATTGTCTTTCCTAGTCCCATTTCATCAGCTAAAATTCCATTTAGATTGTTATTATAGAGTGAAACCATCCATTCCAGACCCTGGAGCTGAAATGAAGAATAATAGTTTCAGTTATTTAAAATCCACACGAATAATTAACATCAGTACTACAGAACCAAGGATCTGATATCACTGCCTACTTAGACACTGGATTTCCTTTAATACTACTACACGCACAGGGATCCTTGGCTATCTTAACAGCTTCACCTGACAAAAAAAAACAAAATAAGATAAACTTCTGGTAACAGCTATATGGGAATCGTCACTCCTGTTTAGCAGAGCCCATAATAGGAAGTTCGATTTCATACGTGGAAGTTTCTTTGTACTGCATACAAAGCAACACAGGCACTCACATGTGAGGCTGATAAATACTTAACATTACATGAGTTTGTTCTTCAGTGTTAGCACTGTCAAATGTTAAACTTTCCGAGTATATTTCATGCCATTTGCCTGTGTCAATTAAAATCTTTCAAAACCAAACCCATAAAGTCTGCGCACATATAAGCCTCACACTTGTCAACTGCACCACTGGTATGCTAAAGCTCTGGTAGCACATGTCCATTTAGGGTCTTGCTGTCCATACCTCCACATGTCAGAGGAGGGCCCCTTTGTCCAATTACACCTTGTGTATAAAATCCAAGAGCTTGAAGGAAGCCAGAGTACTGTAGCTAAGAAATGTCTACATAATAGTTTCACACTCTAAGGAGTACTGCTAGAATGCACTGGCTCAGATCATTCCCTTCTCACACAGACTTCCATGCCTGTGCGTATCACATTACTCAGGCAAGTGCAAACTAAGTTTTTGCTTCTAAGATCCAGACTTTTGGTGTGTCACATGCATGGAAAGAGAAGTAAACTAAGAGGCCCGAGAAAGTTCAGAGAGGAAACACTACATGCTTGAAGTCATCTCCTGTTGTCTCTGTGAGAGAGTATGCAAAATAATGTTGCCAATTCACTGGCTTTATGTACATGCTTACTAATTTATATTTAGGTATTAAATACTCAGACCACCAAGAGTTGATCAGAATTTGTTCTGAAACCATACGACCCACTTGCAAAGCAGCTTCAGAATTGAGAATAGACAACCTGTCTTTTCTATGTCACTGAACTTTCTCCACTGACATATACCATTATGAAAGAAGAGACAATCTGACCAAACTTGGCAGTAAGAAACATGGAGAAGCAGGAAAAAAGTTAAGAAGGAAAAAGCACGTAAATTCTAGTGGATGGGAGAGTCGCCGAACAGTCTTCAGAAAACTCCTGCTATAACTAAAGCCAAGCCTCAACAGTCCTGACATAAAGCTCTTTAGACAGGTGTGGCTCTTACCTCTGGTGCAATTACTATATAGAACTGACACCATGAAGAGCAAATCTACTCATTCAATTGCTAGGTATCACACTGAGCAGCTGAAGGACCTGCTGTAATTGGTAATCCCTGTAAGTGTCTGTGTAACTCCACACACTGAATTATTTTACTTTGTGGCACACAGGGAAATTGCATTGCAAAACACGTATCTACATAATTTAAGAATGTTTCTATGTTCCACAAGTAATTACAATTCAGGAAGTAAAGGAATTATCACAATTGTAATTTCCCATCCATAAGCACTTTAAGGCAATATGGCCATCAAATTAGTATTGTTATACACTATCTGTATATAGTGTACTATAACTATGCTAACTGCTGTTATACACTACATATATCAGGTAAACCTTCCCAGACAATCAGTATTATGCAGTAAAGAAGGCTGCTTGCATCTGATGGCTCCCTGCTTCGTTTGGTGCACAAGGAAGACAACATGCTACCAGTGAGGCAGCAAAAATAAAGAGGGTGTCATAGCTGAGAAAGTGGCATATTTCTCTATATGGTTGAACTCTATCTTGTCTTAGTCACAGTGCTCCTCAATGGTGCCAGAAAATTTATTTAACCTGTCATGTTCAAAATGAGTCCCTGAATGACATATTTCTTTTTTTGTTGAGGGCTCACAGTGAGACACCTAGAAGTGTGAAGGATTCACAACAGAATTCAAATTCAGATGGAGTTTTGCTACAAACAGGTAGGGTCATGGAATGATTCGGTTTGGAACAGACCTCAGCCAGTCTTTAGGCCAATCCCCTGCTCAAAGCAGGTCCAGCCTTGGGGCCAGGTTGCTCAGGGCTTTAGACGGTCAGCAATGGAAAACCTCCTAGGTAAAAACCTCTCTGAACTCTGGCTCCAGAGCTGTCCTCTTCTGTACACCCAGTCTGAACCCCCTTGTTTCAGCTTTTGTTCATTGTCTCTTGTTTTTGTTTGAAAGGCTGAGAAAGTTCGTGTTGTTCAGCCTGGAGAAGAGAAGGCTCTGGGGAGACTTCATTGTAGCCTTTCAGTACTTCAAGAGGCCTTATAAGAAAGATGGGGACAAACTCTTTAGCGGGGCCTGGTGCAATAGGATGAGGGGTAATGGTTTTAAACTAGAAGAAGGTAGATTTCAACTAGATATAAGGAAGAAATTTTTCACAATGAGGGTGGTAAAACACTGGCACAGGTTACCCAGAGACGTGGTAGATGCCTCATCCCTGGAAATATTCCTCAAGGACAGCTTGGACAGGGCTCTGACCAACATGATCTAATTGATGATGTCCTTGCTCATTGTAGGCAGTTGGACTAGATGACCTTTCAAGGTCCCTTCCAACCCAAACTATTCTATGATTCTATGATTATCTGTGATAGGCAACTGTCATTGATTTGTCCATATAATTCCCAAATTCTAAACTACTACAGATACTGCATTTCTTAACAAATTTTCAGTTTGCCACTTGAAATACCACATGAAATGTCGAGTATAATTCCAAGTTTTAAATATTTTAACTTTTTAATGATTTCCCACCTGATAATGTTTTAGAGTGCCATTAATAAGAAGAGAAGACTGCTTTTCCACCCTTTCTGTGATTGCATGAGCAACAGTGTAGTAGGACTGAGACCCTCTAGCACTATACTGCATGCTATATTCATCATCCACATCTTGTTTGGCTGTCCTGGAAAGCAGAAAAAAACCTGAAGTGAATTCCCACAAACAGTTTTTTTGACCACAGCTCACATACATATGTCTAAAGAAACAGTGCAAATCCCCAACTGTGGCGAGTACACAGAAGGGTGCAAAATATTTTATAAACAGTACATAATTAATACAAAATGACCATGTTCCTTCTCCTGCAGATATTCATGCCAGAGAAGGTACCACAACTCACTGTAATCTAGAGCAATCTACTCTTGGGAAACGCCACTGTAAGAAATCACAATTCCTAACAAAACCCACCATCTAAAGAACACTCACTCAATGATTTGCTTTGCATCTTTCTCAGAAACTTCCTCACTGTTAGGATCCAGGAGTATCTTCTCATCTGCTTCTAACCTGCTTGATTCTTCTTCATCATCCTACAGAACACAGAAAAAGAACAGGAGTGCTGGGAAGTGCAGTATCTTCCTAAGTCATACTTTCAACTAGCATTCACATATTGGTAGTTTTCATAGGTCAATGCTTTATGACAGAAACCTGAAATCACAAAGTCCAACTTGCACCTATTCTGCAATAGAATTGCACTGCAGCATAAGAAGATGGTAATTTTTGACACACAGTAACCAAAAGGAAGTCATGATACTTTGAAATAAACAGTATTTTTCCCTTTAATGATCTTACTTTTAAAAACCTATTGCATTCATGGAGAGGAAACCAATACCATATATATGTTGATATCATATTCCAGATTGTGTGATAATTTAATAAAGCTTGCAAAACTGCCAAGAACTGCTGTTTTAGGATTCCAACTTCTTACCTTTTTAAAAACAGACCATGTTTTTACTCTGTTAAAAATACTTTGTTGGCTGGCTACCATTGCAACAAATAACCACCACTTAAAATCTCACTAATAAAGCTAAACTAACCACTGCTCTGAGTTCCTCAAGTATATTCTCCTAAAAATTATTTCCCCACCTCTAAAAAGCAGTGCTGCTAAAAGAGACTGTCCAAAAATGTGGTCACATGTCTTTTAACATTCCTCCTAGAATCTGACAGATATCAGGCCCTCCCCTCTAACCTTAATAGTGAGAGTCTTGTAGAATTACATTAGCAGTAACCAGTCCTACAAAGGCATGTATCTTAACAGAGCAGTCAGTTTCAGTGGTCATTTGGTCTAGTATTGTAAAGACTGCTAGACTTAAGATATCTGAATTCTATACATAGTTCTGCTATGAGCCTGTTGGTTGAACATGGTCCTTTTCCACTCAGTTTTTCTCTCCTTTAGATAGTACTTGTCTGAAAAATGCTATGCAAGGATCAATAATGATTGCTCATGGTATCTTCTGTAAGGCCTTTGATATGGTCTCCCACAATATCCTTCTCTCTACATTGGAGACATACAGATTTGATGGGTGGACTGTTCAGTGGATGAGGAATTGGCTGGATGGTCACATTCAGAGGGTAGTGGTCAATGGCTCAATGTCCAGAGGGAGACCGGTGACGAGTGGTGTCCCTCAGGCGTCTGTACTGGGACCAGTTATTCTTCAATAACTTCATCAGTGACACAGACAGTGGGATAGAGTGCACCCTCAGCAAGGCTGCAGACAGCACCAAGCTGAGTGGTGCCATTGACATGCCTAAGGGATGGGATGCCTTCCAGAGGGACCTGGACAAACTTCAGGAATGGGCCCAGGTGAATCTCATGAAGTTCAATGAGGGCAAGTACATGGTCCTGCACCTGGGTTGGGGCAACCCCCAGTATCAACACAGGCTGGGGGATGAATCGATTGAGAGCAGCCCTGCTAAGAAGGCCTTCGGGGTGCTGGTGGATGAAAAGCAATGAGTGCTTGCAGCCTAGAAGGCCAACCGTATCCTGGGCTGCATCCAAAGCAGCATGGCCAGCAGGTCGAGGGAGAGGATTCTGCCCCTCTACTCCGCTCTGCTGAGACCCCACCTGGAGTCCTGCGTCCAGCTCTGGAGCCCTCAGCACAGCAAAGACATGGACCTGTTGGAGAGGATCCAGAGGAGGGCCCCCAAAAATGACCACAGGGATGGAACACCTCTCCTCTGAAGAAAGGCTGAGAGAGTTGGAGTTGTTCAGCCTGGAGAAGAGAAGGCTCTGAGGAGACTTCATTGTAGCCTTTCAGTACTTCAAGAGGGCTTATAAGAAAGATGGGGACAAACTCTTTAGCGGGGCTTGGTGCAATAGGACAAGGGGTAATGGTTTTAAACTAAAAGAAGGTAGATTTCAACTAGATATAGGGAAGAAATTTTTCACAATGAGGGTGGTAAAACACTGGCACAGGTTGCCCAGAGACGTGGTAGATGCCCCATCCCTGGAAACATTCTTCAAGGACAGCTTGGACAGGGCTCTCAGCAACATGGTCTAGCTGATGATGTCCCTGCTCGTTGCAGGGAGTTGGACAAGATGACATGAACCATTCTATGACTCTATCATTAACCTGCAAGGCTGGGATCTTTGTATGTATTAATTTTAAGATTCTTTTTAGTATTTTTGTAATAGAAGTATTTAAATCACAATTAAAGTACTGAATCAAGTAAGACTACCCTCAACAGCCTGAACCTAAATCCCTGACATAATCCCTAACTTCTTAATAAACATAATATGTGAACAGTAACTGTGTTATTCATAATTGCCAATAAAATCTCCAAGGCATAAACATTAAAGTTGTTTAACTTCATTCAGTGCAAAGCCACAGTACAGCCTTTCTGACATATCTTTTAAAATAGAAACCTGCTTATATTCTCTGCTTCATGATTATTAATAGTCAGAGTAAAATATTTACTTTTTATAACCCTGATGACCAGTTAGTCATTTACAGCATATATAAAAGGCAATTGCTGTGAACTGAGAAGAATTACAAAACCAGTCACCTTTCCTGTTTGTATGATTCTATAAACTCCTACACACCTGCTATTGCTTTCCCTTCCTTCCTTACAAAAAAGAGAAAAATGTCACATGGAATAAGTACTTGTTTTTTACTGTATTGCTTGTCACGGTATATTTTAAAGACACATACCTCTTCCTCATATTCAGAGCCACTTTCATCTTCACTGTCTGACCTGGGAGCAACTTCATAGCTGTAAAAAGATGCCAGAAAGATTATGAATTACAGATAACAAGAGGAGGGAAGAGGAGGGATTAAGTTCAATATATCTCCTACTCATCTTACACATAAGAAGAGTAGACTAGACTAGACTAGGTGAAAAAGAATAACGACGATAAGCCCATGAAAAATATCAAAGCAAATAGAAAAGCAGCAAATAGAAAAGCCTGCTTGTATGCTAACTACTTACCCGGGGTTCATTTCCAGCCAAGCATCCAGCTGACTGGCTTTCGGTGCTTCTGGTCCAAGAAGAACTTTGCCTGTTTCAGTGTGAGTCACTTTGACTGGAAGGTCACTCATCTGACTGCTCTCATCTATGGGCTAAAAATTCAAATGAAATTTTATACCATAAGGCAATGGAATTTCATGCTTGTCACACATAATAAAAAGAACTAACAGAACCTTCAAAATTTCAGATCTGAACATGCAGTGAAGTTTTTTTATTAGAAGCCACACCTTCCCACATGACTATCACGCAAACACAGTATTTCTGTGTATAACACATTCTATGTGACATCCACAAACATATCACAGTAATCCAAATAAATTAACAAGAGCAGCATGGAAAAGAATACACTGCTGGCTTCTGTGAAACAAGAAACAAGGCACATATGCTTATCGGCATTTAATCCTGTTACTTATACCAATGGACATCTGTAACAAAAAAACATACATTGACCTTACGACCTTTTTTTGTATGTGGAGAAACAAGGATGTAACCATTTAGCTAACTTTTTAAGTAAAGAAGGCCTATTTTAAAGATTCACTGTCATTAGTTAAGCTGATAAAGCACCTGCAATAACTAAACCTTTTACTTATTCTTGTGCTCTAACGAAACCAGAATAGCGTAATTACTTTTTCTATTATTTCTTTGTCCTGTTTAATCACAGATTTTCTACTTTAAAACTCTTTGCCTTCTAGTACTGGTTCTACTGAAGAATCTTTTCCTT